GGCCAATCCCCGCCTTGCCGAAAGATGCTCTGCCGTGCGACCGCGCCCCTCTACACCACGCATGCTCGTAGCTGCCTACTTACTCCGCTTGCCCGTGGCTTCGCCACGCCCCCACCGCTCTGCTACCTTTGGGACTGGCCACACCCCCCAGCTTCACAATAAAATACGTCCGCCTGTGCTCCATTGCCATTGGTTCGTCACACGCCTGCCCCGGGGCTGTTTCCGCCCCCTTGCGGGAGAGCTCGGGTAACTATTGGATCTTCCAGCAGGAGGGGGAGGGGTGAGTTATAAATAGAGAATGGGTCCACGTGACAGTTTGGCTGTTGCCCCGCCCTCTTCCCCAGTCCTCCACTTCTGAGGCTGCGCGGGGGCAGACCTGTTTAAAGGGTCGAGCCCTAATTTCACCTCTTCTTCCAGGAAGCCTTCCCAGCCTCCGCTGTAAAAGGAAAGTCGAGGCTAAAGAAGACCAATATCCTACTATAAAAACGATGCTTCTATATACAGAACAGGCTTTACCGCCATGCTTTACCGCCTTGCCCTTCGTTAATACTCAGCTGTCTCGGCCTTGAACTTCTCGTCTTGTAAACAAGGGGCCCCGGGCTCTACAAATTATGCAGCCCGTCTTGTTTTCGAAGAGTGGAAGATGGATCGTAGCCCAGACTCTGGAATGATTAGACCGCGGCTGGAACCGGCTATGAGTCAACGAGAACAGCGCCTAAAGTGTCTATTGTCCCCCAGGTGCTGCGGGGCTTTGCGCTCTGGGTTCTACGATCCCAGGGGCCTTTGTTCCACGTTCTGAGAGGCTTTGTTCTCGATCTTCTGTTCCCTCCACGTTCCGTGGTCCTCAGTTTCTCGGCCAGACAGCCATTCCCCAGTTCCCTCCAGGCACCCTGAGTGGGCGCGCACGCCCTCAGGCGCCCAGCCTGACTCACTACACGTCGACCGCCTCCTGAAACCACCCAGAAGACCTGGCTCCAAGATTCGTACCCATTTCTCAGACAGATCTTGACTCTCTCAAGCCAGAGGGGCCATCCAGGTCACATGAGAATGCCCCTCATCTGTCGTGTCTGCTGCACAAGGCGACCTTCTTGGAGAAGCAGTTGTACGGGTAATTTCCAGGACTTGGGGATCAGACAGCTGGGGGCGAATCGCCAATTCTGCTGTGCGACCTTGAGAAAGGATTAGCCTCTTTGGCTTCCATTACTTCATCGGCATCATTGGAGTCATATAAGGTTCTCATGAGGATTAAGTGCCAGATTTGTCTAGGATATGGTGTCTGCCCTACATGAACAGCCACTGAAGGATTTGATCAACAAATACAACGTAATCTATAAACCCCAAACCCACTGCCATCGAGTTGATTCTGACCCTGTAGGATAGAGTAGAACTTCGCCTTAGGGTTTCCAAGACCCCAATCTATCCTGGAGCAGCCAGCCACAACTTTCTCCCGAAAAGCTGCCTGCTGGTGGGTTTGAAATGATGACCTCGTGGTGGTGGTGGTTGCTGTGAAGTACCACTGACTTGGTCCTGACTCAGGTCGCTACCTGGTGTACAACAGAAGGAAACACTGCCAGGTCCCGCGCCATCCTCAGTGGCTGTTCCGTTGTGCCTGGTGCTGCATCCCTTGTGTCAATCCATCCCATTGACGGTTAGCAGCCCAATAGTTAACTCATTACACCACCATGCCTCTAGAAGGTGATCAATCTAGTGAGTGCCAAGACCTCTTTAAAGCATTGAAAAACAAGGATGTTACTTTGAGGGCTAAGGTGCACGCCTGACTCAAGCTTTGGCATTTTTAGTCGCCTCGCATGACGTGAAAGTTGGGACACTGAATCAGGAAGGCCCAGAGGAATGGATGCATCTGAATGATGGGGCTGGCAAGGATCTCAAAAGTGCTAATCGGTCTTGGAAAAAGTACAGCTAGAATGTTCCTTGGAGGCAAGGATGGCGAGATTTTTGTCTCACACACTTTGGATAGATGAGGAGAGTCAGGCTCTGGAAAAGGACAGCAGGCTTGGTACAGTCGAGTGGCAGTAAAAAGGAGGAAGTCTTCCACAAGGGGCGTTCGGACCAGTGGCTGCAACAATGGGCTCCAACAGACACCAATTGTAGGATGGGGAAGAACCGGGTTGTGTTCCTTCTGTTCCGCAAGGTCACTGTGAGTTAGAAGTGACCCCACAACCCTTAATACAACAGAAACGGTGAATGCCAAAGAGAAAGAAAACAAAATGTAGACTTTAGTAGAAAACTTTTATTCATGTTGTTCTAGAGAAACTCATCTGTCCTCGAACAACTTTGTCCAACAATGGGGAGACTGGGGTGCTGGTGGAAGTCTGGAGACCCCTGGACACAATTAGGGTAGTAGTCAGTGTCTGGTGTGAGGTCGGGATGGGATTTTTCATGTCTGCTGTTTGTGCCATGTTGAGTCTGGTATTGATTTAGGGTTCTGGTCCCCAGGCTGTTTGGAACAGAAGATGAGAATGATGAAAGTTGAACGTCCCATAATACCACTTGGCACCAAGTCCAAGCCATCAACTCTTGGTGACCCTGTGTCAGCACAGAACTCTGCTCTGTAGTTTTCAATGGCTGGTTTTTTAAGATATGAATCACCAGGCCTTTCTTTCTGGCCTTGACCCGCTAACCTTCCAGTTGGCAGCGGAGGATGTTAACCGTTTGCACCACCCGGGACCCCCATGACTCAGAAGGGACCTTGGTTACATCATCACATTAAAAACACTTGCCCTGAAGTCAAATCTGACTCACAGCCAAGCAGAGTCCTGACAAAAGGGATCCAGAAGGGCCAGGATCAGAGAAAGGCCTTCAGAAGCAGAGGCTGAAGACGGACAGCTTTGAAGACGGAAGCAGAGGCTAAAAGCAGCAGCCTCTAGAAGTGGATTTTCTCCCTTGGAGCCTCCAGCCGAAGACTTCCAGTCCCATCAGGGCAGATTCCGATTTCTAAGTCCCCTAGTTATGAGCACAGACTCCCACAGGCTCAGGCAAGGTCATCTGCTTGAGCTGCCTTGGCGTCGAGAAGGGGCTGACTCTCTGAGGGCTGCCGAAAACTAGGAAAGGTCTTGCTTTACTCGGAAACGTCTGGAGAGGGGAAGCTCTGAGCGTATCCATGCCTCCACATAGTGTATCCCAGGTCTCTAACTGGAGGCTGAGCTCCTGGCCTACTGTGGTTCATACAGCTGGACTATAGACCTGTGGATCTTAAATGGCAAGATGTTCCCAAGGGACTCCCAGGGCTAGTCTCTCAGAGTAGCAGCTCCACCACATCCCTCAGAAGTGGCCCGCCTCCTTTGTGGCTGGCTGCCTTCTGGTCCACTCTGACTACAGGACAGGGCAGAAGTGCTCCCCACAGGATTTCCAAGGCTGCTATCTTTACAGAAACAGACGGCTCTATCTTTCTCCCTAGGAGCAGCTAGTGGCTTCAAACCGCTGACCATGGGGTTGGTTGGCAGCTGAGCATGGAACAGTGGCACCACCAGGGCTCCTAATTCTCTTTTGGCGGTGGCCCACTTGAAAGAAGTGAGCAAACAAATCCAGCATCCTCTAGTTGACTGTAACTCGTGGCAGCCCCTGGGGCTACACAGTAGTGCTGCTGCTCCAGCGGGTTTTCTGAGCTGTAATAGAAGAGAAGCAGATCACCAGGCCTTTCTTCCGCCCTATCAGAAATTGGGTTCCGCAGGACCATTTAATTGTCTCAAGTCAAAGAATGGACGGCATCTTGGGATCGGATGGACACGTAGCGACCCTATAGGACAGGGTAGAACTGCCCCTATGGGTTTCTGTGACCGAAACTCAATTACCCTCAAGACCAAAACCAAACCCATTGCCATTGAGACTCAAAATCTCTTTACCGGTAGAAAGCCTCCCCTTTCTCCCTTGAAGCGGCTAATGGTTTAGAACTGCTGACCTTGTAGTTAGCAGCTGAATGCGGAATTGTCAAGCAACCAGGGTTACCTAGTAGATGGACGACTGAATACTTATCAGGGAGTTGAGTGTCAGCGTGAATTTGGGCTAAATTCTCTCCAGTGTCTGTGGGTTCCGGAAAGGCCTTCCAGGATAAGGTATAAGTCTGTGTGCGACCCAGGTTTCAGGAGAACTTGTTCTGGAGTATGTTCAGGCCACTTGCCCACAGCTGTAGATGGCAGAGGAGCCGTGGTGATGTAGAGGTTATGCGTTGGGCTGCAAATCACAAGGTCAGCAGTTAGAAACCACAAGCAGCTCTACAGGACAAAAGAGGCTTTCTACTCCCAAGAAGGGTTGCGGTCTCAGAAACCCACAAGGGAGCTTTTATCCTGACCTATAGGATTGCTATCGGAATTGACTTCACGGCAGGGATTGTTTTTGGAATGGCTGGCAGTGGGCCAGAGAGACCAGGGGACCATGGATAACTGGAGGGCTAGGGCCAAGAGGGGAGAGGGGGAGGAGAGGATTCCTACTGGGTAAAGTGAAAGGGAGGGTGGTACAAGGAAGGGACAAAAGGAGAAGACTGTGAGGCTAAGAGAGATTAGGAGGGGCAGAGGGAGAAATATTCGCCTGCAAATGCTGCTTAAGTGATGACAGGATTTGGGAGAAAGCCAGTTATTTTGCTCTCAGCTTCTATTAAGCAAAAAGAGTTTTAGTAGCACAGTGGGCTATGAGTTGGGTGGCTAACCACAAGGTGAGAAGTTCAAACCCAACCAGCCACTGCAAGGAAGAAAGATGAGGCTTTCTGCTCCTGTGAAGATATACAGCCCTCGGAAACCCACAGGGGTAGTTCTATTATTCTGTCCTATCCGGTTGCTATGAGTCAGGATCACCTTGTTGGCAAAGGAGTCTCCTCCCCCTTAGGAGTACTGGAGGTGCAGCAGTTAAGTGCTCAGCTGCTAACCACCAAGCTGACAGTTCAAATTCACCGGTCGAGGGAGAAAGATGAGGCAGTTGCTTCTGGAAAGATTTTCAGCCTCAGGAGCCTTATGCGGAAGTTGCACTCCATCCAAAGGGTCCCTCGGAGTCAGTATGGACTTGGAGCAGAGGGTTTGGGGTTAGTGTTCCCTTCTTCAACGAGGAGGATCACCACAGGGGCTACGACAATAGACTCAAAGGTAGCAAATAGATGGAGAGGCTGGCGCAGAACCAGGTAGTGTTTCCTCCTGTTGTACAAGGGCAGGATCACTACACTTGACCTTCCCTCCCCAGCAGTCCTACCTGGACACCTGCGGGCTTTCCAAAGTCTCCATCTACCAATCAGGGCTCCCTCCTATCTTCCTCCTCCAGTTAGCGCTCCTGCCCAAACTCCCCCCCCTACACCCCCTCCCACCCCCCGCCCTCTTGGGAGCCCTCCTTCCCGGTGATCTCCGTCTTGGTGAAGGAGCGTCTTGACCGATTACTTCCAGAGGACGGTATACACAAGTACTTCCAGTCCTCACTTTCTGTAAGCAACGCCGCGTCCTAAGCATATCGCAGGTTGTAAGTAAACCTTCTACTAGTCTGGACGCCGCATTCTTCTTCATATACTCCGGCTTCTGTTTGCTTAGCATCCGGATCGAACGCGTGAGGCTATCGCCCTGACTCAATGGCGAGATTCATCTACTTTGGCCATGTTCTCAGGAGGGTCCAGTCTCCAGAGGTCATTCTTCTTGGTAACGTAGAGGGGCAGCGAAAAAGAGGAAGGCCCTGGACAAGACAGATCCACACCGTGACTGCCACAACGGGCTAAAACAGAAGAACCATCGTGAGAAGGACGCAAGTCCAGAAGGGCTTCATTCTGCTGTAACAGGGTCCAAGGAGCCAGGATCCACACGACAGAACTAGCTAACAACGGGACATGCGCAGAGGCCATCGCCCTGGGGCCAAAGAGGAGTCTGGTTTCATTGATGGCGCCTTTGGAGCCCCTTGCCCATGTCCCCATCTTCCCCTCCCTAGAACAGTACATGGCTGAGGTCCCCGAGGGTGGGAGCACGTAGTCTCAGAGGATACTGACGCGTTCAGCCAGCCCCTGCATCTCATAGTCCTGTGGCCGGAGACCCCCACCCAGCTCCCCATCAGAGGGCAGCCCGGGCCCAGGCAGCGGGTACACGCTGACGAACTGCTCCCAGCGTGCGTCGTCGCTCTCGTGCGTGATGTACCGCTCGCCCATCTTCCTCTCCAGCTCCCGGAGGTCCAGCCACGTCTGGTACTCCTGCACCAGGACGAACAGGGATTACCGTGGAAGCCACAAGCCGGTGTTTCTGGCCTGCGCATGCGCGATCAGTTTGCAGCAGGTACCAAGACCAAACCATCCCCTTCCCAGCCTACCCAACCAATAGAGAAATAGCTCCACCCCTCTTCAGCCCAGGCAATGGGAAACTTGGACTGCTCAGCCAATAAATGACTTAGTCCCACCCCTTTCTCCAACCCTGCCAATGGGCAGCCCAACTCCCTTTTTGCCCCGCCCTTGCGTCACCTGTAACCAGGGGTGGCTGAGAGACTTGTCCACACTGTAACGCTTGCGCATCTTGACCTGCAGCAGGTTGTTGATGAGGTCGATGGCTGCGACAAACAGGAGGCACACAGGTCAAAGTCTGCCGCGTGAGAGGCCACTTCTCCAACAGAAGGCCCAGGTGTTGGCCTTCAAGGTTATCTGTACCAACCTAGGGGGCTTGGAGCCTCACCCACTCCCTTATCCTATCAGCAAGCCTCAAACACACGCTAGATCCTACACCTCTTCACGAATTCCCTGCTTCAGTCACCCCATTTCTAAAGTACTGCTGTGGGCTGAGTTGTCAGTCATCGTTGTCTCTACCGCCCACAAAGATATGGTGTAAATCCTGACCTCTGTGCCCACGATACAGAGCCCTGGTGGCGGAGTGCGTTAGGCTTAAACGCAAGGTCAGCAGTGTGAACCCCCTTGCGGCTCTGTGGGAGAAAGAGGAGACTGTATTCCAGAAAAGATGTAGTCTCAGAAACCCACGGGGCAGTTCTTCTCGGCCCTGAAGGGTGATTATAACTCGGAATAGACCTCGATGGCAGTGGGTTTTGGTGAGTTATGCCCGCGGTTGGTTATAACCCCATTTGGAAATGGGTCTTTTGTGAAGGCCTGTGAAATATAGTAATAAATAAAAATAAAAGCCCTGTGACATTGAATTAATTTCTGCCCCACAGTGACCTGGTAGGGCAAAGCACCCCTGCTTCTGTGGGGTTTGAAGGCTGGAACCCTGTATTAGAGTACAGAACTTCCTCTTTCTCCCATCGAGCAGGCTGGTGGTTTGAACCGCTGGCCTTGTGGTTAGTTAGCAGCCTAAAGTGTTATCCACTCTGCCACTAGGGTCCTTTCCATGTCCACAAAGATAAAATGAATGTAAAAATAGTGAGGTGAGAGGCTACTAAAGTGCTGGTCCTGCAGAAATGCCCAAAGACCAAGAAGTCTATCTGGTCTGTGAAAAGCAAGTTCCATGCATTTTGTCAGGATTTCAGGATAAACCTGCCCCACCGGCCGGGGCTCTTCTTGCCCATACTTGTTTGATG